CCAGAATTTTTGAATGGTAAATGTAATAGCAGCAAAGTGGTAAGCGTAACGCCCACGCGATTTTTCCTGACCCAATTATGAGCCGGGGCATTTTTTGTATTACGCTTCCGCTGTTTAAATCTTGGCCGAATTGCAAGAGGATCACCCTCCGGCTTGCTTAGATCAAAATTAAAAAATCGCACAGATGAAATTAGTTTATTCATTAAGACGAAGATGCTTAGGAATAACTATATATGGAACTTCGTAATGCCAAACATACCTTAATGCAATCAAATTCTCTTCGCGTAATTCTTCTTTGAGTTGATCCCGTTCTTGCTGTTTGATAAAATTATTAGATCACCTTTATGAAAAAATTCATGATATTTTTCATGTCGTATACCTTGGACTTCGATTGCAAAGTCATACTTAAATAGTCGTGATTATTTTTTTCTTGGCAAAAGTGATCGGCGTCCCGAAAAAGAACGCGTTATGATTTTTTTATTCACTAATATAATTAAACATATTTGTATTTTATATAAAAATGGCAAATACGCAATCCAAATTTAAATTATTAGAGAAATTGAATTCCAAGCTTCAGGCGGAGAATACAGAACTTAGAAACGAGAATGCTAAAGTTAAGCGTGAGTATGCAGAATTAAGACAATCTTTAGAAAACCATGAAGCCAGAATCACGAAGCTAGAGCAAGGGGAAAAAAGTACTACTAATGTTTTACAATCTCCGATTAACAGTGTTCATGAACAAACTATCATACAAAATAAGAATGCTCCGGCATCTGATTGAGACTCCGCCACATTGCTTTGCAGGCCCGAAGGCAACCCTAAAGGGTCATAATGTTTCAAATTTTGATAAGCCAAATAATGTCTCGACATCTGATATATCTGATAGGGGCAAAGCCCCATTGTTTCGCAGGCCCGAAGGGGCGACCCTAAAGGGTCATAATGCTTTAAATTCTGATGTATGTCAGGAAGAAAATGAATTTCTGAATTTGCAGTATAAGATCGACCTATTATCATATAGCAAACATTAGCTGTTACAAGACACGAAATAAAAAATAACAAATTATATCTTTATTGACATCTGTAAGCTCGAAGCGCCATAATTCGAAGAATTGCCTTACGGCTTGCTCCGCAATAAAATTAATTTTTAAAAGCCGGCCTATATAGATAGAAGCGTGGGGTAGGGACGTTTAAAGGGAGGAATAAAATAGCGGTTCCTTTCCCTACCCCGCACTAGCTATCATAATTACCGTCATCATTACTATTGAATATATTACTACTACTTCCTATACTACTGAAGTAAGTATCTTTCCTTTTTCCTTCTTTCTCGACCCAAGCCTCAATTTTATCCAGTGAAGTTCTTTGAGGAGATTTCTGATGCCGATAGAAGCTAGCAAGTGTAGCTGGACTGAGCTCTAT